CAGTGTTATATATCCATACACCGAACTATCATTCAGCCACAGAAAAGAATGAAGTACTGATTCGTACTACAACGTGGGTAAACCTCCAAAATGTTATGCTAGGTGAAAGAAGCCAGGCACAGAAGGTCATATATCATATGATTCCATTTATAGGAAATGCCCGGAAGAGATAACTCATAGAGGAAGAAAGCAGGTTGCTGGTTGCCAGGGTCTGAGGGGAAAGGAGAACGAGGAGAAACGGCTCAGTGATAGGAGGTTTCTTTTGGAGTGATGAAAGCGTTTTGGAACTAGACAGAGGTGGTGGTTGCACAACCTTAGGGATGCACTGAATGCCACGGAGTGCCTCCTTTAAATGATTCATCATTATGTAATTTTAACTTCAATAAGTTATTTTTTTAAATGAAATCTTCCAGTATGATAATTACCATGTTCCTACTTGTGTAAGTAAGTAAGTAAGACTGTGGAAAGAGTGAGACTTGTTAATATTAACACGAAACTGTATTAGGAATCTTCGTTAAATAACAATGTGTGCATATTTTCATTTGTTCAGATAATTTCTAAGGAAAAAAATCCATTGGTGCAATTGATCATGTTAACAGAAAAATGGGAGGAAATGTACCAAGAATCGTTTCAGCAACTGCACTAGACTTGGAATGAGGGGAGGGCTGGGCAGGGGGTAAATGAATCTCTTTTTTTCATTTTTAATTGAGGTGAAAATCACATAACATAGAATGTAATGTCTTAACCATTTTAAAGTGTATAGTTCAGTAGTGTTAACTACATTCACATGGTTTTGCAATGGATCTCTAGAATGTTTTCACCTGGCAACACTGAAGCTCTGTGCCTATTAAACAACAGCTCTCCAAGCCCCACCCCGCCCCTGGCAACCACCTTTCTGCCCCCTGTGTCTCTCAGTTTGAGTACGTTAGATTTCCCACAGAAGTGGAATCCTGCCACATTCGTCCTTTTGTGTCAGGCTTTTTCCACTTCGCATCACGTCCTCAGGGTCCATCCATGTTGTCACCAGTGGCAGGATTTTCTTTTTTAGGCTGAATAATATTTCATTATAAGTATTTACGCCATTTTTTCTTTTTTCATTTGCCACTACCTATCATTTTCTTTTCTTCCTGTTTTATTGAGGTATAATTTACAAGTAAAAAATTGTATATATTTAAGGTATACAACATGATGCTTATACACACACACACACACACACACACACACCCTTGTGAAATGATTAGCAAAATTAAGCTAATTAAATACATCATAGTTACTGTTTTTTGGTGTGGTGAGAATGCTTGAGATGTACTCTCTGCAAATTTCAGGCGTACAATAGAGTACTATTAACTGCAGTCCCCGTGCTGTACATTAGGTCCCCCGAGGGAATCTGTTTGATGTCACTTGATTTAAAAGTTATAGGGCCTTGGCTGGTGAGGCTCGCTCAGTGGGCTGAGTGACAGCCTTCAACCGGAAAGGTCACCAGTTCAATTCCTGGTCAGGGCACATGCCTGGGTTGTGGGCCAAGTCTCCAGTTGGGGGGGTGTGACAGGCAACCAACTGATGTTTCTCTCCCTCTTTCTCCTTCCCTTCCCCTCTCTCTAAAAAATAAATAAAATCTTTAATAAAAAAAGTTACAGGGGATGGTAATCATTTCACAATATATACATAAATCATCGTATTGTACGCCTTATATTTACATAATGTGTCAGCTGTGTCTCGATAAAGCTGGAAAACTGAAAACACAATGTTTCTTTTGGGAAAAAAATAAAAAATAAATTTTAAAAAGTTATGAAGGAGTCAAAGGCAGAACTGGGGAGCAGTGGGGCGCGGTGCTCAGCTGACTTGGCTTGGCTTTGTGCCCGTGGCCATGGTCCCACCATGGGGCCTGGGCCCTCCACGGGCAGCAGTCGGGGCCGCCGGGCCAGGTTCCGGGAGGGGCAGTGCTGAGAGCTGGAGGCTCTGGGTTCACCCGCCTTGCTTCCTCCCAGCTCCAGGCCTGCTCTTGTTCTCTCTGATGCTGGAAGCATGTGAGGGGGATGAGTAAAGAGGCCTTTGACTGTCACTATCTGGAATTACCAAGAAATCCCCCCAGCTTCACCTTTACTCTGACATCTGAAGCTGGGAGAACGACAAAGCTGTCCAGGCCATACTCAGGCTGATATGCAGTGAAAAACCCAGATGAATTCCCCTTCTATGCAGTTTTCTCTAGAAGAGACTCCCGAAGACAAGAGTGTCTCAGACATTTTAAAATTAGCGCTCTGGGCAGAAGAAACCCTCAGCATGGGGATGATCTTTATTTCAGTGCCGGCTCTGCAAGAAAACTCAATGCAATAGTGGATTAAATAAAAACCAGACGGAAAAAAAAGACAGGATACAGAACGGAAAGGAAACAGGTGCCGAAAAAAAATTATTTCATGGTGCTCCATTACGATTGACAATTTCTTAAGTTCGAGGGCCAGGTTTGATGCAGGACTCTTGGAAATTAAAAAGAAATGAGAACAAGAAGAAGGAAAAAGTTAAGTGGGAAACAGCGATTTGAAAGAGGTCATGGTCTTCACCCTCTGAGAGCCGGTTGGAGGTGCTGCAAACACGTGGAAGGCAATGGGGTTTTGTGCCAGGAAGTGGGTGACTTGGAGCACGAGGGAGACGAGGGCAGCCCAGGCTGCCGTCCTGCTGACCAGAGAGGGACCCCCGGCCCCCCCGGCACCGTCCCCTGCAGGCAAGGCTGATGCCACGGCATCTGAAAGGGTTGCCTGTGCTGAAAGGGTTTTTATTTTCTGTTCCTTTTTTTAGGAAAAAAAAAAAACTTCTAGGAGAATATTTTTCTGATAACATTTATCATTAAACTTAATAAACTGACCTTAAAATTTCAAATAGAAGAAAGAAACAATGACTCCCAGGTTCGGGTTCAGAACCCACAATGCAGCCTTTGGCAACTTTCCAATATAATAACCACAAAGATGGGGTGAAGCGGGACAGACCCATCGACACCCAAGACTTTGGTGGGTATTGCTGAATCAGGGTCATTGTTCTTTTTTAAAGATTTTATTTATTTATTTTTGGACAAAGAGGAGAGGAGGAAGAAAGACAGGGAGAGAAACATCAATGTGTGGTTGCCTCTTGCACGCCCCGAACCAGGGACCTGGCCCACAACCCAGGCATGTGCCCTGACTGGGAATTGAACCGGTGACCCTTTGGTTCACAAGTCAGCACTCAATCCACTGAGCTATACCAGCTGGGGCTGGGATCATTATTTTTAAAATGTTCTGTAAAGGAAGGATCCCTTATAATTTGGGGGTGTTTGGAATAATTAATAGTAAGTTTTTTGGGGGTTTTTTATATTGAGGATTAATTTGTATGAATAAAATGCAAAAACTCAGGTGCCTTGATGGGTGGGTTTTTGTATGAGTGTACACCAGTGTGATCACCACTAGGATCAAAAGATAGAACATTCCAAATCCAAGCAGGCTCCTTTGCGTCCCTTCCCAGCCCCTACTCAGCCGCCCCTCCCCCTGACACACACACACTAAGAAATAAACTATTTCTACCCCCGTCATCACAGACAAGTTTTGCTTATGTACTACTTGGGGTCTGAGTGTTTTTTAGCTCACATCGCACCTGTGAAATTCATCTCTTTCCTAGAGCAATAATGCATTCTTATTGCTCTGCGGTATTCCATTGTATACGTGTACCACAATTTATTCATCTATTCTCTCTTTTTGGTATTATTTCTTATTTTTACACATTTAAAAAATTTTTTTTAAGTTTTTTAAAATTTATTTTTAGAGAGAGGGGAAGGGAGGGGGAGAGAGGGGGAGAGAAACATTAGTGTGGGAGAGACATCGATCAGTTGGACCTGGCCCACAGCCCAGGCAGGTGCCCCGACTCGGAATTGCACTGGCGACCTTCGGTTCACAAGCCAGCACTCAGTCCCCTGAGCCACGCCAGCCAGGTATTTATTATTTTTAATTGAGGTTCACTGACACACAGCATTATACTAGTTTCAGGTGTACAACGTAATGATTCCATATAGGTATATATTGTGGCATAATCTCCACAGTAGGTCTAATTAACATCCATCACCTCATATAGTCACAATTTTTTTTCTTGTGATGGGAACTTTTAAGATCCGCTCTCAGAAACTTTCAAATGTACAATGCAGTGTTATTTACTACAGTCACCATGCTGTAAATTATATCCCATGATTTATTTATTTTGTGACTGAAAGTTGGTGTCTCCTGATCGTCTTCACCAATTTCACCCACTTCCACCCCCCACCTCTGGCAACCACCAATCCGTTCTCTGTATTTATGGTTTGGTGATCTGGTGATCTTTGTTTTTTTAGATTCCACATATAAGTGAGAGCATACAGTATTGGTCTTCATCTGTTCTCTTCCCGATGCACAACCAGGTTAGAAATATCGGGTACTATACCCATGAAGACATAGGAAAAAATGAAGATTCATCATAACACAAAGCTGATACAAGGAGATGGGCAAACAACCCGATGCTGGGATCTGGGAGGTCTGGCAACGTTAATCCAGCCTCTGAGTCCCCCGATCCAGACCTCAGGCAACTGCACCTGTGCTGGGGAGCAAGGAAACACCGTGGTAGCTGCGCAGGAGGCAGCGGGACAGGGGGCTGAGCAGAGACCCACACTGAGGGGCAGCGACACTCAGGACTGGGCTCCCACCCGCACTCCACATGGGAATCAAAGACTGGACCACAGGAGCAGGCGAACGGAGCCCTCCCTGGCGTCCGTCTGCACTGACTGAGCTACTTCCAGATCAGAGTCAGGAAACGGGGGGGGAGAAAAACTCAGCAGCGTGGGACCCATAAAAACCACTGCAGAATAAAGAAAGGGAACGGCATGTGGGAGGCTCGGAGCAGAGGAAAAAAACTCTGAAAACAACCTACCACAGAACCCAGGAGAATTGCAAATGTTGCCTGAAAACATGGTGAGATTTCTGTTTCTGGCACTAGAGCAGAATAAACTTTAGGTAAAAAAAAAAAAAAAAAATCTATTAATATAATTTCTTCTGATATAATCTGTCAGATAAAATACAATACACCTGATTTTAAGCATATGCTGAGTGTGCAGAAAAGTACAGGAAATTCCCAGGGGCCGAAACCAAAATTGGGAAGCCAGAGCGGTACGCCAATCGTCAGCGGCAGCTGCCCGGGGCAGCTGCCCATGTCAGGAACCCAAAGGCTGGGGATTTTACGGCCGCAAGGGGCTCAGAAGACAAGTCTTTGCTAAGTGGAAAATTGGAACCAAGAAGCCTGCCAAAAGTCAAAAACTACAGAGCTACAACCTTCTTAGAAGTGTGGACTAGAAAATCTTTTCCTTGGCAGAGGAAGGTGACAAGGAAACTTGAGTGTCTTGGCTTAGACTCTGGGTGCAAAAAAAGATTCTGACTTTCTAATAACCCAAGCCTCCTGAGAGATTGGAGTCTGAGTTTATGCCATTGGAGTGATTCAGGAAATACTAAGCCAGCAAATGACTTTAAAGTGGTCCTGGTACAGCCCTGGCTGGTGTGGCTCAGTTAGTTGGAGCATCATCCCCTACACCAAAAGGTTGGGGGTTTGATTCCCTGTCAGGGCACATGCTTAGGCTGAAGGTTCGATCCCCAGTCAGGGCACTTATGGGAGGCAGCCAATCAATGTTTCTCTCTCACATTGATGTTTCTCTCTCTCAAATCAATAAACATATTTTTTAAAAGATTTTATTTATTTATTTTTAGTGAAATGGAGAGGGAGAGAGATACATTGACTGGTTGCTTCTTGCATGCCCTACAACAGGGGACCTGGCCTGCAACCCAGGCAAGTGCCCAGACAGGGAATCAAACTGGTGACCTTTTGGTTCGCGGGCCAGCACTTAATCCACTGAGCCACACCAGCCAGGGCTCGATGGGCATATTTTTTAAAAATTTAAAGTTGTCCTGTACAGAGCGCCTGGCAGAAGCCAGTGCAGAAGCCCACTCTGAAGGTCTGCATGGTCGCCCCAGGCACTCTGCCTTCCTACTGCATGTGAGCTCACAATCCAAAATGTAACACGCAATGCACAAGCCAATAAAAGCCAGGAGAAAACGAACTTCAGATACTGGAATCGTTCAATACAAAATATGAAATGCTTATCTTCAAGTTTTAAAGAAATAAGATTGAATTAAAAACAAGAGCAAGGAACACAATACTATCAAGAAAAAAAAACAGACTAGTTTGAAAAGATCTAATCAGAAATTCTAAAATGGAAAAATCTCATTACTGAAATTAAAATCCAATAGATATTTTAAACAAAAGATTAAACAAAACCAACGGGAAATTGGAAAACTAGAAGACAGATCTGAAAAGATTACCCAGAGGTGAAAAATGAAAAAGACTGGTTAAGATCCACAAGGGAGATTAACTAGGCCAAATGCCAGAATCGTGCCTGGCATAGTGCTCAGTGAATATTTGCTGAATTGATAAGGACAAAGAAGCCCTGTCTGGGTAGCTCAGTTAGTTAGAGCATTGTCCTGATACACCAAAGTTTTGAGTTTGATCCCAAGACAGGGCACATACAAGAATGAACCAATAAATGCATAAATAAGTGGAAAAACGAATTGATGTCTCTCTCCCTCAGACCCTCCGCCCTCTTCTCTCTCTTAAATCAATTAAAAATTAAAAAAAAGAGAGAGAGAGAGAGACAAGCCCTGGCCAGTGTGGCTCAGTGGATTGAGCACCAGCCTGTGAACTGAGGGGTCACTAGTTTGATTCCCGGTAAAGGGCACATGCCTAGGTTGTGGGCCAGGTCCCTAGCTGAGGGTATGCGAGAGTCAACCCATTGATATATCTTGATGTATCTCTCACACATCAATGTTTCTTTCCCTTTCTTTCTCTCTCCCTTCCCCTCTCTCTAAAAAAATAAATAAATAAAATCTTTAGAAAAACATTTAAAAAAATAAAAAGAGACAGAGAATAAAAAAAAAAAAAAAGACTTACATGTGTCTAATTGGGTTCCAAGAAAAAAATAGAGAACTGAAGAATTATTTAAAGAGGAAACACCTGAGAAATTTTCAGAATTGAGAAATTCTGAAATGTTCATGATTTAAAATGTTGGACACCTGCATCGTAAGCTCTCCAAGGGGTCTTCTTAAAGCCCCTGCCACAAGGCTTCAGTCAAGAGGTAGCAACCTTCCCGCCAAGGCACGACAAAGCTTTCTCCAAGCCCAGGGTTCTCAGCCCTACCTGAGCGTCCCCCTAGGGGGCAATGTCTCCAGACACTTTGGGTGGTCACAACTAGGGGGATGCTACTGACATCTAGTGGTAGAGACTAGGGAGGAATGCTGCTAAGTGGCCTGCAATACACAGCAGAGACCCCCAGAACAATGATTCATCTGGCCCAGAGGGTCAGTTGTGCCACGGTTGGGAAATGCTGCTCCAAAGCAGTCCTCCTTTGATTCCTTCTCATCTGTCACGCCTGAGGACCCCTTTGTACCCCAGACAGACGGGTGAGCTGCCTGATGGACAGGGCCCTACATTCACCATCAGAGGCGGGGCTGTGCAGTGGATGAGACCCAAGTTCCACCTCTGACTCACTAACCCACCTGTGGCCTCGGGCTAGGCCTCAGTCTCCTCATCTGTAGAGTGGGGAGCATGATCTCCAGGTCAGGGAGCGGAAAGGCTGGGAATCATGAGTGGGTAGTGGGTCACTCCCCCTGGGATGGGGTCAGGCAGGTCCCTCCCCAGGAAGATAAGATAACCTTGGAGCAGCCGTGTTCAGGCGTGGATGGGGCTGATTCACTGTGGACTGCAGCGAGGGTGAGGCGTGCTCATGACGCCTCTACCCCTGAGAGCGACCCTGTGGGACGTGAAAGGCACCTGATCGGCTTACGGATGAGGCAATCTGGGTTTGAATTCCGGCTCAGCCAATTACCTGATTTATGACCTTCACCAGCCCCTTAAACTTCCCTGGCCTCCCGCTTCCTACCTCCTGTAGGGCCAGGACAATCAAATACACTGCCTGGGGCTGTTGTGGTCATCGAATGCCACATTCTCTCCCCCCAGCACAGGGCCTGTCTCCCAGACGGTGGGTTGTCTCAGGCACTGGGACCTCACTTACCCCACTTGTCTGCTTTGCTCTGCCTGCCCTGGGAGACACCAGTCAGACCATCTAGGTCAAATGGAGGCCTTGAACTTCTCCTCCTGAGGGAACTGGGTGTGAAGCTGGAGGCTGGGGCAAGCACCCCGGCTCCATGGTGACTCATCAGCCAACTTTCGCTGGTGATGCTGCCACTCACCACCAGGTGTCACTCTCAGCCCTCTCACCACTGAGTTTCAAGCCACCACCGGTGAATGCAGAGGGGAGACAGAGGCCCACAGCACAGAAGGCAACAGGCCAAGTTCACAGGCCAGAACTAGATGGGGACCCAGACATCCCAGCTTGTAGCCCTAGAACACTCTGCCCCTATGGCCTCTCAGACTTGGTTCTGGCCTCTACATGGGTATCATCTGGGACAGGCCAACTGGGGGTGGATATGCATTCCGTGGTGGCTTTCCCACCCTGCAGGTCTTAGGAGCCCCTCCTGGTTTCAGGCTCTGCTCCCCTCCATGGAGCTGCCTCCTGGGCCTGGGTCTCTGCCCTGAACCCTATCTTCACCTCCCACTGGCCAACCCCAACCTGGGCACTCACCCTGGCCCCTCTCCTACTCCCCAAAAGTGTCTGAAAATGTCAGAAGACTGAAGTTTGCGTTCCAGTGCAAATTCAGGAAGCAACATGGGATAGAGCAAATAACCAAAAAGACTTCTGGAGTCTTCTCTGAAACCTTGGGCAAAGCTTTCTGCTCTTTTCCTCAAGCAAACTAACAGAGGGAAGGACCTTCTATCTCATCAGCTGCCCCACATCCATCTAAACACCCCACATCCACCTAAACACCCCTTCCAGCCTCCCTCCCCTCTGCAGAGACCACCTCCCCTCTACCCCACACAGACAGCTGAGGATCTGATTCCCAGAAGCCTGGAACCTGAAATTTACCAGGGGCATCTTCATTTCCTCCCTCTGGGTGCATGTATCAGGACTTCATGTGTCCTTCACCCCCTCCTGCCTGGATCCTCCTGGGGTATCCCCACCCCCCTTCTCTTGGCTCAGCCCTCAGACCCTGGCTCAAATCCAACATCCTCTAAGAAGCCTTTCCAAGTGAACACACACACACACACACACACACACACACACACACCCTTTTCTCCCTCTGCACACTTCCACCCCCTCATGGCATGCATCACAGTCTGAAGAGATATTCTTTCTCCAGGGGGCAGTTACCATGTTTGGCTCACTCAGACCCCTAGCTTTTAGCTCAGTGTCTGGCACATAGTAGGTGCCCAATAAACAGTTCCTGGATCTATTCCTCTACACACGCACACCCACCCCTAAATCTTTAACCTCGCCCTCCTCTTTGCCGTCTTCTCTGAGTTCCAAACAGTCCCGGATTTGCCCTCCATTATAAAAGAAAAGTTCCTTCTCCTGTAGCCTTTTACAACTCACTTAATTGTCCTCATTTTTTTTGTAATCTGAGTTTACTTGACAATCTGCATGTTCAAGCTTTTTGCTATTGCTTCCTTTAAAATAGATTTCTCTTAATTGTCTTTAAAGTTTACTCCTTGTTTAGAAGATACACATAACTCTCTTCATTCCTAATGTGAGTTTCGCATGCACTGTGCTGTCCTCTTGAAACTCTCTTCATCTCCTGGGTGGTCGTCTGCATCTTCTTAAACTCTTACATCTTTAACTTTCATATGTTTAATCTTTTAATCTCAGACTTTAGGCTTTGATCTTCTAACTTAAATTATATTCATTTTGTTGCTTTATTTTATCAATATTTTAAGCCTCTTAACTTTCATCTCTTGTTAAAGGTAATTTTTAAATCCGACTTCCTGGTTTTTCAATTTCATTTTGTATTTGCTAATTTTAACTTTGCATTATATTTTAGTTCGTCTTATATTTATATTTTAAAGTTGCCATGTCATTGGGCCTAGCCTTTTAT